AACCCCAAGAACAGCCTAAAGTTAGCAATCTGCTGAAATTCTGAAACAGAATAAAGCATAACACTGTACTATTTACCACTATCAAGTAATTTATTTTGTCATGTAAATCTTAAATCCTTCAATATTCACCCCAAAGAAGTTGTATGATTCTGAATATTTCAAAAGAAAACTGGCAGGGAAAGAGGAGACGATGAGAAACTAGAGAAATAGGGAAAGCGTTTTTCTTACACGAATTTCAGAAAAAAATTTAATTTATATAATTTTATTATATAATTATACTATTACTATTATTACTCAGTCTTTTATTATATTATCATAATTACTGTTATTATTATCTATAAAAGTTACCTCTATCCTTGGTAAATATGACAAGTTTTGACTAAGAAAAAAAATCCAGTGAAATAGACAATTCTTCATAAGTTTAAATGGTATTTTACATAATAAAATAAGTTCCTTCTTTTAAACATAAAATGATCTAAGATTTTTAAAAATTAGTTTCTCTTTCAAATGACAGAAATTTATGATTTATTTTTATGATTTATTGTCTTATAGTTTTGAAGGCCAGAGTGTGAAATTAAGGTGTTGGAAAACTTCTGGAGGCTCTGAGGAGGACTCTCTTCCATGCCTCTCATTTTTTTTTTTTTTTGACAGAGAGAGAGACAGCGAGAGCAGGAATACGAGCAGGGGGAGTAGGAGAGGGAGATTCAGGGTTCCCACCGAGCAGGGAGCCCGATGCGGGGCTCGATCCCAGGACCCTGGGATCATGACCTGAGCCGAAGGCAGACACTTAACGACTGAGCCACCCAGGCGCCTCTCCTTGCCTCTCTCCTAGCTTTTGGTGCCTGCTGGCTGTACTTGGTATTTATTCCTTAGCTTATGGCTGCCCTCCAGTTTCTGTCTTGGTCAGTCTTCTCTTGGCCTTTGCCTCTGTCTCTGTGTCTCAAATCTCTCTCACCTTCTTTCATGTGTCATTGGATTTAGGGAACACCTTAAATCCAGAATGATCTCATTTTGAGATCCTTAATTTCATTATTTCTGCAAAGACCCTAGTTCCAAACAAGGTCACATTCATAAGTACCAGGCGTTAGGACTTGGACATATCTTTTTGGGGGACACAACTCAACCTGCTATCCTTCCTACTAAAAAATATTAAACAAATGTGTGAAGAACACTGGGAAGGAGCGTATGCCACGTGGTTGCTTGCTTGGGTGGCCATGTGTCTCATCCAGCCATTGGGCCCAGCTTCCTGTTGGCTGCTCACTTCCAGCTGCTCTTGTGAACAGTGGGGGCGATGCAGAAACACCCTGAGTCTCGCGGATGGCCAAGGTGCAGCCTTTTCCCATTGTCCTCAACGAGCACCTACTGAGGGATGACCAGGAAAGGCTGCACTCTTCCCAAGTCTTGTTAATGCCCTACAAAGCCCAACCAATATAAAAAGAGAAGCTGCTCTGGAGTACTGTGTTCTATTTACCACCACGCTGAAAGTTTTGTGGTGGATTTCCCCTATTTCCAGGACATTTTCCTTTAAAAAGTCATTAAAGATACTTTTCTCCCAGCATGGTTTTAATCTAAGTGCATTAGAAGTGCGTGAAAACCCTGAGAGCTTAACATCACTAGGGTGACTAAAAGGGTGGGAGAATCAGGGCCACTTCTGAAGAAAGCTTTGGAGTTTAACAGGGTCATTAGACCCTGGAGATTAAACTCAGGATGAGGCAGGCAGCAGGACAGCTTTTTTTACCCTGCTTCTTTCCTAAATCAATTTAATTCTTGTGACTTTCTGCCTTGCAGCACTCAGAGCAATTTTTAAAAATATTTCATCTATATTTGACTGATAGCCATCTCTCTGTCATGTAACTTTTATGAAATGCCAGAGCTTAGCTTCTTAAATTACATTTTCTGTTGGCCTTGCCCATGACATAATTATAAAAATGTCTTTTCTTGATAAAAAAGCTATGGAAGAAAAAATGTTATCCACCACTTTTCTTTTTTTTTTTTTTTAAGATTTTATTTATTTATTTGAGAGAGAGAGAGAATGAGAGATAGACAGCATGAGAGGGAAGAGGGTCAGAGGGAGAAGCAGACTCCCTGCTGAGCAGGGAGCCTGATGCGGGACTCGATCCCGGAACTCCAGGATCATGACCTGAGCCGAAGGCAGTCGCTTAACCAACTGAGCCACCCAGGGGCCCTATCCACCACTTTTCTATCCTCAACACAAAAAGCCTACAAACACAGTAGCTGTTAGGATCCTGAGTTTTAAATAATCAAACATGAGACTCTAAAATGGGGGCCAGCAAACATTTTTCTGTAAAGGGCCTAATAGTGAACATCTTAGGCTTTGTGAGCCATGGGATATCTGTCACAACTACTCAGCTCTGCTACTGTAATGTGAAAACAGCCTTAGAGAATATTCAAAGAAATAAGTGTGGCTATGTTCCAATAATACTTCATCTACAGGTGCCGGCAGGGGTCTATCTATCGATAGATCGATAGATACCATATGGAAATACTAGGGAATTTAGCACAATTTCAGATTTTCTTTCATAATGTTGGAAACATTTTGGAAGTCTCTTTCATTTCCCATTATATACCAGAGCCTAGCATGGGGGTCTTTTGTTTAGTAGATACTCAAAGTTTATTGAATGAATAGCAAATGAGTAAGGCTTGCGTTTTCCTAGCATGCCAGCCTCTGCAGGGTGCCCACTATGCCTTGTCCAGCTCGAGTACGTTTCAAATTTTTAGTTAAAATAACCCAAGTCCAATATGCCACAACACTGTATGAAGCTCTTATATGGTGGGGCTCTCCTCTGTCTTTTTCTGTAGGAAATTTATGAGATCTGTACTTCTGCTATGGCTCAATATAGCCAAAATACCTTTCTGTAGAAAGAGAATAGAGAATAGAGATCTATATGCATCATCCATACCTATCTCTATCTCTATTAGCTGGCTCATTGATAGCAATGGCAATTGCTGAAGCAACAGGGACCAAACAGCAGCATTTTATTGGCAGAAGCCAGGGGGTTACAATTGCCATACCACCAGGGAAAGTTGAAGGGCACCCAAGTGGACTTGACCTGGAGGGAGATGTGGAGATGATTAAGAGAACATTATATCCCTAAAAAAAAAAAAAAATCCCTAGATGACTAGCCAGTGAAGGTGTTACTTAATATATTAACCAGAAGAAGGCAAGAATATATATATATGAACAGCAGATTAAGGGTGGTAATCTCCATAGAAAGTCTTGATCTTTTGCCCACATACCAGAACTCAGCCAGTTTTCAGACCCAGAAACCACTGGCTGAAGTGGTGGCTAAGTCCACAGGAGGAAGAATTTTGAAATACCATGGCAAAATATACTGTGTTAATTTCCCCAAGTTTCCTCAAAAGAGACTTATGATACTTACTTGAGAAAATACACACTATGGAAAGAGGAATATCCAAATATTTGGAAAGAGGAATATCCAAATACCAAATACCCTCAAAATCCTATATTGACTTATAGGATTTCAAATCATCATGGTAGAGTGGAGGCATCCAGGGCCCAGGCTCTGAAATAAACAGAATCCCGGCCTAAGTCTGGCTCTCAGAAGGTCCCGTAAGTCTGTGGACCCATCCAGTGGTCAACTCTCTGGTCTCCAAATATATGATTGGAATTGACATGTTTGACTGTTGAGGGAACCCCACCTTGACTTCTTCTCATTCAAACCAAATGGGAGCTATCACAGTGGGGAAGGTGAAGTGAGAGCTTCTAAAATGGCACCTCTACACCCCAACCCCCTCTATTCACTATTCCTTTGCCAGTCCTGGCTAAGATGGTACATCAAACTCCACTGTATTTGGTGGTGATGATGGGGAGGAATGAATGCTACTCTAAAGGATCTTAAGAATGGTGGGGGCAGGAGGGGGGTGGTCCACATCACAGCTCCATTTAATTCACCAGTCTGACCATTGCAGAAACCAACTGAATCTCGGAGAATGAATGTAGGCTACTACAAACTCAAATAATCACCCCGAACATGGCTGCTGTGCCAGTTATGTTATCTTTGCTGGAGCAGATTAATATGGCTTCAAGTACATGTTATGGCATTCTTGTCTATCCCAATAAGAAAAGATCAGAAAAAGGAATAGAAACTGCATTTACATGGTACAATATACATTTACAGGTTAGGGGCCTACATTATCTTCTGCTGTTATAATATGATCAGATGAGATCTGAGCTGTCTGGATATCCTACATATCATGTTGATCAGGAGGATGAGCAAGAATGGCTAGCATACTGGAGGCACTGGTAAGACATATGCACTGCAGAGTATGGGAGTTTAAGTTGGTGGCAATTCAGTGAACTTCCACTGTTGTATTTAGGGATCCAGCTGGGTCAAGGGCAAGTGAGGACATCTCTTCCTAAAGATAAATTGCTGCATCTTGCCTTTGTACCAGAAAGAAGGAAATACAATTCCTGGTAGGATCCTTTGGTTTATGGTGGCAACATATTCCACATCTAGGAAATGTGCTCCAGCCCATACACTGGGTGACAGGAATAGCTCCCTGCTTTGAATGAGGCCTGGAGCAGAAAGTCAGAATTACAGTACAAGCAGCCCTGCCTCTTGGGCCATATGATCTGGCAAACCCCAAGCCACTGGAGGTATTAGTGATGGGAAAATATGCAGTGTGGCAGAGAGATGAAGCCACAGTGGAAGCATCATAACACAGATCCCTGGGGTTTCAGAGCAAGACCATGCCACCTGCAACAGAAACTTACACGCTTTTGAAAAGAGTTCCTGGTGTGTCACTGGGGACTAGTAGAGACAGAATTCTTGATTATAAGACACCAAGTAACCATGCGTCTGGAACTGTCCATTATGATCTGGGTTCTGTCAGACCCACAGAGTCATAGACTCAGGCAGGCCCAGCATTCCACAATAAGATCAAAATTGTGCATCTGGGATTAAGGCTAAGCAAGACCAGAATATATGAAGTAACTGCATGAGCAGGTAGCCCAGCTCCTCATGTCACCCACCACGGGTGTACCAGCACCCCTCCCTCAGATCATTCTTCAACTTCGTGGGGGGCTCATGTAACCAGCTGAAGGAGTAAGAAGAGCTTGAACATGTTTTATGGGCAGGTCAGCTTAGTGTGTGGACGCAAGTTAAAAACAGGCAGTGGTTTAATTACCCTCAGGGTGGGAGGGGGTTTGAAAACAGTGGTGTGGAAAAATCGTCCCAATGGACAAAGCTCAGAGTGGTGCACCTGTTACTCATTTTGTGTGGAGGAAGCAGTGGGCTGAGGTGAGAAAGAAGACACACACACGGGTAGAGGGAATATTCTGATGGGCTGGTCAGGGGTCTGGAAGGAAAAGGACTGAAAAATTGAAGACAAGGAGGTTTGGCATCGAGGAATGTGGATGTACTCGAAGGAATGGGCATAGTGTGTGAAGACTTTTGACTCACATAGTAACGGACACCAGAAAGCATCCCTCACAGAATAGGCAGTGAGCAACCAAGCAGACACATGACTAGGCCAGTGCACATCAGCCAGTCTTTGAATTGACATGATGAGCACATGTACAGAGGAACCACAGGGGCAGAGATAGAGGCCATGCCTGGTCTCTATTTTACTGATACTTTTCTGAAAGTCCAACCTGCCAGCAATAGAGACCAATACTGAGCTCCCAATATGACATCTTCTTCAAGGAGGTGATTTCCAATAGTTGATTTCCTTATGTTGGAGGATCAGTGTACATCTGACACATTTGACATTTTCTTAAAAAAAAATCCTAGGAATTTTAGTAACTTCAGTGCCTAATTTTAATATCTTTGTACCTTCAGTGGTGAGTCATTTACTGGCTTCAGCCTCATGCTATTCAATTGAGTGGGGATAACTATAAATTGTACACATTAATGTAAAAAAAATCATAATGGTAAACCTCCTAACACACGAAAGGAAAGAATCAAACAAGCTATGATATCTTTTTCAACCATAGTTGGAACATTAAATCAATGGTGTATGCAAAATTGCTTAGTCTCGTATTGGGCATAAAATACTAAGTGCTCCCTCCATATGTGTTAGTTGAATAATTATCAGTAGGACCATTGGCCTGGATAAATACTTTTATAGATATTTATAGATATTGGAAATTTAACATTTTAATGGGAATTGTTAATAAAGTGCTATTCTTTTCTGTCTTAAAATAATTTTATAATTTCAGTTTTTCTTAGTAACTCTGTGTTAGCATATGGACATCAAGCATTGCCTAAAATTAACAATGATGTTCTCAGAGCTGATGGCATGTATAAGGCTGTGCTTGTCTTTTAACCTTGGAAATCTCCTCTTCTCTAGTTGGTGTATTTCCTATAATACTCCTTATCCTCTGTTCTGATTCCTTACAGATATCAGTGGACATCAGAGTGTTTTCAGTCAAGATTGAAAGGAACAGAACCTAGCCTAAATTAAGGGGGATTTACTAAGAAGATATTTGGTGTTCTCATGGCAGTGATGACTCTCTAAGCTTATGGAAAATTGAGCTGACATCTGGAAAAGCATCAGTAACAAGGCTGTGTGTGGGGGTGCCTGGGTGGCTCAGTTGGTTAAGCAACTGCCTTCGGCTCAGGTCATGATCCTGGAGTCCCGGGATCGAGTCCCACATCGGGCTCCCTGCTCAGCAGGGAGTCTGCCTCTCCCTCCGACCCTCTTCCCTCTCGTGCTTTCTATCTCTCATTCTCTCTCTCAAATAAATAAATAAAATTAAAAAAAAAAAAAAAACAAGGATGTGTGTGTGTGTGTGTGTGTGTGTGTGTGTGAACACAATCTCTTTCCTTCCTTTTTTTTCTATGTTTCATTCTCTTGCTCAATATGTACCTGGCTTAAAATGATTGTTCTAGCCCTCACTAAATTTAACTTTTTAGTTCAAATGCCAAATACCATCTACGAAATCTTTCTGGTTTTTAGCTCAAATTACCAAGAATGAGAGTGTGATAAGATCTCTAAACAGCTGACAAATTGGCTTATTCTAGATCACCCTTGGTCAGAGAAAGAGAAACAAAGACCTGGAGTATAGGTGTCCTAGGGCATAAACATAGCTGCCTAGTTCCCCTTAAACATTGCTCTGTGTGTATGTGTGTGTGTGTGTGTGTGTGTGTGTGTGTGTGTGTGTGTTGCCGTTCTTAGGGAAGGAACTAGAATTTATAAACCTAGTTTTGATCCTAAACTAGAGATGGAAAAATTATATCTGGTCCTCCCAAAAACTGTTTCCATTTTCATCTTGACCAGCTTACATTTGAGAGTTTTCCTGCTCTAGATGGTATTAAGAAAAGATGACAAGGATTAGAGTTCCTAACCTTTCCCCCTGACTTTTCTGTACTATCCACAAAAATTGTATTAAAAACACTATTTCAGGCAACAATAACATACTCATCCTAATGATGCTATTTTTCTTTAAGATCAATTTAGACAGAATGGTTGATCGACTCCAAGGAACATGGAAATCCATTTCTTGTGAAAATTTTGAAAAATATATGAAAGAGCTGGGTGAGCCATTTTTACCTGCATATCATAGCCAGTAAAAAGGGGAGATTTGATAGCACAGAAACTTGGTCTGTATGATCTCAGATTAATCTTGGGCCTCTCCCTGCAACAGAAACATAAAAACAATCACATAGAAATGATCAACATTGGTTCAGGACCTAGATATAGTTCTATGCAAAATTAGTTTGTAATTGACAGAATTCTTGCCCTCATGTAATTTACCATGGGTTTACATCGATAAAACACATAAACATCATATACTAAATGGCAAATTATTTCCATAAATAATTTAAAGCAAAAAGTCATAATTATTTTTATTTATTTATTTTTATTTATTTATTTTTTTTAAAGATTTTATTTATTTGACAGAGAGAGACACAGCGAGAGAGGGAACACAAGCAGGGGGAGTGGGAGAAGGAGAAGCAGGCTTCCTGCGGAGCAGGGAGCCCAATGCAGGGCTCGATCCCAGGACCCTGGGGTCATGACCTGAGCCGAAGGCAGATGCTTAACAACTGAGCCACCCAGGCGCCCCAATGATCATTTTTACAAGGATTTGCTCTAAATCTTTAGAGGATCTTCAAAATTGATTTTTTTTTTTTTTTAGGATTTTATTTATTTGACAGAGAGAGAGAGAGCGAGAGCAGGAACACAAGCAGGGGGACTGGGAGAGGGAGAAGCAGGCTTCCCGCCAAGCGGGGAGCCCGATATGGGACTCGATCCCAAGACGCTGGGATCACGACCTGAGCCGAAGGCAGACGCTTAACGACTGAGCCACCCAGGCGCCCCAGAATAGATCTTGTTTTCCAGCTGAGATGGCTGCTGGCCTTCCTTGGTGTCTGGGCATCACACTCCAACCTCTGCCCCTATTGTCACATTGCCTTCTTTTCTGTAGTCTAATCTCCCTCTTCCGTTTCTTATAATGAAATTGTGATTACATTTAGGGTCCACATGCTGATTAGCTCCCTATTTCAAGATCCTTGAGTTAAGGGCGCCTGGGTGGCTCAGTTGGTTAAGCGACTGCCTTCGGCTCAGGTCATGATCCTGGAGTCCTGGGATCGAGTCCCACATCGGGCTCCCTGCTCAGCGGGGAGTCTGCTTCTCCCTCTCACCCTCTTCCCTCTCGTGCTATCTCTCAAAAAAATAAATATAATCTTAAAAAAAAAAAAGATCCTTGAGTTAACCATATCTACAAAATCCCCTTAGGCATATAAAGTGACATTCACAGGTTCTAGGGATTAGGGTGTAAATATCTTTGGGAATCATCATCTAATACATCACAACTTGTTATCATGTTTCACAATATGAATTCATGAACCATATTAGAGGGTTTCTCCCACTTATCTTCTCTTAGAAATTTAACTTAAGTATTGTACATGTGATGCTATTTCTTTAGAAAATAGTCCTACATATACTGCATAAAGCTGTGTGTGTAATAATGTTCACTATAGCATTGCTTGTAATTAGAAAACATGGAAACAAACAACATGTCCATCAACAGGGAGAGAGATGAAATAAATATTAATATATACACTCTATAAAATATTATGTAGCAATGACAAACATTTATATCTATGTGTACTGACACAGAAAATCTTTAAGATACAGAGATGGGGAAAAGTAAGTTGAATAACAATTGTTATAATAGAACATTTATATTTTTAAAAATTCTATATATAGTGGTGATGGTTGTATAATATTGTGAACGTACCTAATGCCACTTTTTTTTAAAGATTTTATTTATTTGACAGAGAGAGACACAGTGAGAGAGGAGCACAAGCAGGGGGAGTGGGAGAGGGAGAAGCAGGCTTCCTGCCGAGCAGGGAGCTCGATGTGGGGCTCGAACCCAGGACCGGGGATCATGACCTGAGCCGAAGGCAGATGCTTAACAACTGAGCCACCCAGGCGCCCCATACCTATTGCCACTTAATTGTATGCTTTAAAATGGTTAAAATGATAAATTTTATGTTATCTATATTTTAGCACAATAAAAAAATACATGATGGAAAAAACAAACTATATATGTACATATAAGAATATAAGTGAAGAGATAAAGATCTTAAATAATCCATGTCAAAGTATTTCATCTGTATAAATGAGTGCATTTTAAAAGAGAGAGATTTTTTTTTATTATGTTCAGTTAGCCAACATATAGTACATCATTAGTTTTTGATGTAGTGTTCAACGATTCATTGGTTGCATATAACACCCAGTGCTCATCACAACATGTGCAAAGAGGGAGATATTTTATCAAAATAGGAGCTTTAATAAAATTTTCAAAGAGGTTCATGAACCAACAAGATCAATAACTACTGGGCTAAGGAAACACGACAACCAGTAGCCAAAACTAGAGATTATTTTTTCTGCAAAATATAACCTATTTTAACTTATAATGGTGGTGCTACTAGCTTCAGATATTTGAATTCATGCAGCATTAAATCTGCTTAACTCACAGACCCCCTAGTTAGTTAGTAAAGAATTACGCAGTGAACATGGGTTTCTAAAACCAGCAACAGATTTAACTATGGTGTCCTTTCATCTGGCTTCCAGGAATGGGACGAGCCAGCAGGAAACTTGCCTGTCTGGCAAGACCCACTGTGACCATCAGTACACAGGAAGATCTGATCACTATAAAAACCAAAAGCATCTTTAAAAATAATGAGATCTCCTTTAAACTCGGAGAAGAATTTGAGGAAACCACACCAGGGGGCTATAAAACCAAGGTGAGGCCTTCAAAACTCTTTCAGATACATTTCATAAGAATGTCAATTTGAAATCATTCTAAGTAAGTAAACAATTATAGCAAACACATCTAAAGTCTGTATTAGATAAACATTGGGCTAAAACCTAAATCTGAGGATCTTAAATTTTAATATACATACACATCTCCTGTGATGCTTGTGAAAAGTGCCTATTTGTAGGTCCCATCCTCACAGGCTCTGATGTCTGGGGTAGGCACCCGAAGTATTTCTATGTGTTTCTAACATTTCTTTTTTCTTTTTTTTTTAGTTAAAATTTTATTTTTATTTTTTTTCATATTCTCGAGGTAAAATTTTAAAAGAATACATAATTACATCATACATGCTAGATAAATGGGGTATTAGTCTTTCTTCCCGGTTAAGGGTTATTTTAACAGCTGATTAGAGTGAAAAAAAAAAGAGATGACACTCAGCAATAGGATAAGTCTTCCAGTCCAGTCTAATACTAGACTATGTATATGCAGAGTTTTTTTTTAACATCTCTTAATTTTCAGGTTTATGTATTTCTAATGTTTCTGATGCAGATGCTTAGCAGATGCATTTTGAGAATCATTTCCTTAGATTCTTCTCTCAGAAACAAAAGTTCTGCCTTCCTACTTTGTAGTTTTCTATGGATAAAGTTACAATGAATAAAACTTATATTAACCAGTACAGGTGAGGATGTGCCTCAGTACCACATTAACCACAGGCCCCAGTGGCTTAACACAATGGGAGTTGCTTTCTAACTTAGGATACATATTCAGCATTGTGGTGGGTTTGGAGAAGTTTCTGTGCGCGCGGAGGAGAGCGGGCAGGAAATGAGGGCATAGGATATCTAGCCCTCTTCATTTCTCAGGGAAAAGAGAGTTTTATTTATTCTTCAAGATAATATTATATTTTTATTCTTATAAAACTTTTCCTCCCTCAGAAGAATCAGCCAACAAATTTAGTGTTGACAAAGTCTTAAAATATAAATAAAACTGTAAACACCATTCTAAAACTACCTGAGAATATCACAACCGCTGAAAAGGATTTGGTCCTTGATAAAACGTTAGTATTCAAATGTGACAGTCTGAGCTGAATTCCGTTTTGTCCGTTTTCAGAGTGTGGTAACCTTCGATAAGGACTCTTTGATTCAAGTTCAAGACTGGGATGGCAAGGAGAACACCATAAGGAGAAAGTTGGTGGATGGGAAAATGGTGGTGGTGAGTGAGCTGTTTGTCATTATTTTTTGCACCTGCTCTAACACCTGTATATAAAGTCATTCAAATAGCTTGTTATAAAATAATAGAAGTCAATGTAATTTTCTTTTTTCTTTGCTTTATAAGAATGGGGGAAGACATTGGCGGATAAGTATAATAGATATAATATTTATGCATGATCATAAATATTATAAAATGCACATGGGTTGAGGAACTAAAACGCTAAAGAAAATTAAAAAGTTGTGTTGCCTAATTCTTTGACTTGCACATAAGCCAAAACAAGCACGTATTTGTGCAATGAAGATTTCAGCAGGGATTGTGGGTTGTTGCTAATCCTTTGCTCCATACAAAGATTAATTTCTCACTGTTTTCCAGCTTAACACCAAACAAACACATGAAAAGGAAATTTAAGCTAGTACAAAGCTTAAGTGGTGTCTCCTTGGTGTATGGATGAGTTGACACAATTAAAAACTAACATTTCTGTGGCTACCGGGTTTGCATGTTTTCATATATTATTTACCTAATCCTCACAATAATTCTGTGAGGCAAGACTAATTAGCCTACTTAATAGTGGAGAAAACTGAGATTCGGCCACTGACTTACCTAAGGACATTACCTAAGAAAAACATGGTGCTGCTGGGATTAAAACCCAGGCTGGCTTAATTCCAAAGTGTACTTTTTTGAGTCCATTCTGCTCCCTTTGAGGATGGCTTCTCAGGTCATCTTTCTCCCTTCTACACAAGGGAGGGAAATATGCCAATGATTCTTCTTCCCAAACCCCCAGTTCCACTGAAATGAATAAAATGACAATTTTGGACATAATGTCAAATAGTTCTAAGGGAATATGTAAGAATTATGTGGAAGTAAAAAATAAAAAAACCTATCCTCATTTCTTAATGTAAGAATTTTTTTTCTTTCAACAATGAAGAGCACATTTACTTATAAAGTAATAAGTGGAAGACTAAGGATACTTGATTTTATTTCTACTTATAATGACATCAATCACCAAACAGATATGTTTTTAATTCACTAGGAAGAATACAGATTCAGAATTCAAAATGTGCATTTCCACCTCTGCCATTCAGTACTTCTGTGACTCTGGATGAGTCATTTATCCTCTCCAAGATGGAGTTTACTTGCCTTCAAAAATGTAGGACTGTCTTCATGGTTTTTTTGAGAGAATTAAATACCATCATGTATATATTAGTGCTCTAAAAACCATAAAATACTACATCAATGTAACTTAATGTTATTTGAAAAATGTAAGTTATATAAATTAGCAAAAATGCTTCACCATAGGCATTTAAAATGTTTTAACAGACTTCAAATTTTATACTATTTGCCTTGTTTTTTTGTATATACACACACATTACATATATACCATATATATGTATACCCACATATATCATTTGTAACATGATTTGCCATTTTGTTAGCAAAATCAGCTAACAAATAGTTGGTATCTATAGTTGTCTACATAGATCTCTTTTCGAGATTTTTAAAGAATGTGTGTATGGATAGTACTTAGTTTGCATTGTTCTAAACGTCAGTTTCACCAACAATACTGAATTGTCTCATCCTTCATTTGTCTTCTAGGAAAGTGCCGTGAACAATGTTATCTGCACTCGGACGTACGAGAGAGTACAAACTCAATCTGAAACTCTTAAGCACCCCCAAACTGTGATCCAAACTGCTGAGGTCGTTTAAATAAAACTCCAAAGTAAAATGTTACAACAGTTAATATGAGAGAGCCTGTGCACAAGCATCGGCAATTTTGGTTTGCTTACTTTATATGGCTGTATTATATAGTACCTTGGTATTGGGAGCTCTGGGAAACCACGTGATATATCCTGTTCAACTCAAGGCTGCTATAATTCACTCAGAAAGGCACTTCATGTTGATTTTTTTCTCATTAGGCATATTATGTCAATCCTTTATATTCAACATGATCTGCACTATATTGGGAAAATAGTATTAATTAAAAAAATCTTTTTGGGGTGCCTGGGTGATGCAGTTCGTTGAGCATCTGACTCTTGGTTTCTGCTCAGGTCGTAATCTTGGGCTCGTGATTTCTGGGTCATGGAGTTGAGCCCCACGTTGGGCTCTGTGCTCAGCGTGGAGTCGGCTTGAGATTCTCTCTCCCTCTGCCCCTCCCCACCATGCTCGTGTGCATGCTCTCTCTCTCTCAAATAAATAAATAAATCTTTAAAAACAACAACAAAAAAATCTTTTTATAGGTGCTGGAGATACATCAGAAAACAAAACAGAAGAATCCATGCCCTGACAGAGTTTACAATCAAATGGCATTGGAGGCTGTTCGGAATGATTCATATTTCAGATTTAACTTATTATAGTATATGATGATTTGTATTTAGAAAGAATTTTGTCTTAAATGCTCAGAATTTTTAGTTTAATGTCGAAATTATTACATCATCCACTGATATAAATAGAACTCTATAAAGAAAAACTTTGTTATAAACTTCTATGCTAATTTCACTGAGCATTTTCTAACATAACCATTTATTTTGTGAGCCTCTCAGTGTTTTTTAACTCCTTGCACACCAGGGCAATTATCTAAAATTAGTAGTGTGCAACAATTTAAAATTAACAGGATGAGGACCATTGGAAGTACTAACTTAAGCACTTACCCATCTTAAAAGAATTGGTATGTAAGAAACTATTTTCTGTCTTATTGATAAAAATTTATGCTTAGATCAAACTTATAATTAACAAAGAAGCTTCATTGGATCATAGTTCGCAGTTCCTTTTTTACCTTTTAACCCCCTTCATCCACTGGGAGAAATGGGTGAAGGGGGTCAAAAGGTAAAATATTAATTTTTTAATAAACTAGCTGGAACACTGTTTGTCTCACAGATTATACCTCCACTGTACGTGAACGAATAATGCACAGGTCTGGAACTAGAGCAATAACTGACAATCTAATATATTAGCAAGCTATTTTTATAGAAAACACATACACTACCATCACACTAAAAGCCAATGCAAAGGAGAATATTCTGTTTTATTAGCACCGAACCTTATGCACTTTAGGACAGGGAGGAATTTCAGGAACTGCGTGGACTGATCACTTTATTGTGTAGATGGAGAGACAGGCCCAGAGGGATAAACTGTACATTTCCATAGCACCCTGATGGTTTTAGGAGGACCTGGAACCAGAACCCATGTTTCTGGATAATTCACCTCAAAGCTGTTAACAAAGGGAATCAAGATAGAAAGAGGTTCACAGTGTACAATTACAGATCAATGTAACACTACATCGAACTAATGAAGAAACGAGCCTCCCTTTATTTATTTTTTTAAAGCTTTCATTTATTTATTTATTTGAGAGAGAGAGAGACAGACAGAGCACAAGCAGGGGGGAGGGACAGAGAGAGGGGGAGAAGCAGATTCCCTGCGGAGCAGGGAACCCGATAGGGGGGCTTGAACCCAGGACCCTGAGCCGAAGGCTGACGCTTCACCAACTAAGCCACCCAGGGGCCACTACCCTTTATGTTAAAACGTGTGGCAGGATGCCCAGCTTGGTCCAGGCAATGACATAGAGTTTGACTGTTTGGATTCGTGACCCGTTCACTGCTTATTTGTCTCAATTGATATACCAGGGGATCTTGGAGCTCCAGTAGAAGTGTGAGAAGTGCTTATTTTTCGGTTACTGAAATGGTGAAGAAGACAATGGAAGGCATAGAAAAACATCCTCTGGCTGCTTGGACTGGATAGAGAGGATCACAGGCTGAGTCCGAGGGTGCTATTTTCCCACCACCCAGTGGATGGCTGTGCACCCGAGCAGCCTGCTGCAGGGGCCCCGGGGATAGCATGTTGCACAGAAATTGGAAAGAAGCATTCTCCCCCCTGAAATGGAACCCAGCGCTCCTCTCATACCTGAAGGGTCAGTGGATATGGGAGCTTCACACACAGTGCTCTTGGCTTTGGTATGATGTTGTAATTCAGGATTTACTGCACATTCACCGTGTACCTGGCACAGCATGAGAATGGTGATCAAAGGAGAGCTAAGTCGTGTTCCCGGCTCTTGACTGACTCAAAAGAGAAAAGATCTGTTAAAAAAGTATTACACTAGCACGTTCATCTCAGGAATTTATAAATAACAGATTAAAAACCAAATGCTTTCACCTAGAGAGAAAGATCTAATACCACTTTCTTGGTGGATAGATAATTGCCTTGCCCAGGTGAGAAGAAAACCAGCAACAAGGGTGGCAGAAGCAGCAAGAGTAAGGACAACAGCCTGGCGAGGGAGGCACACATGGGCTCTAGTGCACACCTTATCAGGACGCCTGTCTTAGGGAGTGCATCCCTCCATGCTGCAGCCTCCATACACTTTGTACCCTTTCGGTTCAAGTTAGTAATCACTATTCAGGATATATAGGGAGTGTGAACTTATTCCTAGAGAGGCATAGCCTGTTCATCCTAAGCCAGGAGAAGTTTTTGCATTTTTTTCTTTCTTTCTTTTTTTTTTTTTAGAGAGAGAGAGAGAGAAAGAGTGAGCGCACATGAGTGGGGGGTGGGGGGCAGAGGGAAAAGGAGAAAGAGAATCTGAAGCAGGCTCCATGCCCAGCACAGAGCCTGACACAGGGCTGGATCTCACCACCCTGAGATCATGACCTGAAATGAAATCAAGAGTCATACGCTTAACTGACTGAGCCACTCAGGTGCCCCAAGTTTGGGTTCTTAAATATCATATTCTTTGATTTAGATTTGGCCAAAATATTAGAATAGAAATCAGAAAACCTACTACAGAAAGGGAGGATATTTTGGTTTTATTTAAACAGTAAAGTTAACAATGTTGAATAGTTGAATATTTTCTAAGTAGACAAATTTGGAAAAATAATGTTCTATTTGAATAATTCAGCTGACAAAAATCCGAGATGAAAAAAATAGGACAACAACAATCATAATGCACTGGTTTTTGAATCATTATTAAGTGCCAGACACTGTCTAGCTCTTTTGATGCATGCCTCGTTTTCTTTTCTGTGAAGTATTTACAAAAGTATAAACTAAGAGTCAGGGAGGCTCAGTTTCCTCAGCTGATCAATACCAGGGTTTGAGTTCAAAAGTGGGTCTTTGGGACCCCAAGCCCATGTTCTTTAACCATTGAGCCACAGTGCTTCCCTGGAAATCAAGAAGTTATGAAAGTTTCTTTTAGAGTCTTTCTATGCTAAATGCGTAATTAATACAACTAACCTGACCCCAACCTAAACTCTCATTCCCTAAATGATTAGAAAGATTACCTCTTGGAGCTGAAGATTTACAAAGCAGAAAATAGCCAAACCGTGACTAATGTATCACCTATATGAGACAGATTTATCAGGAGATTCTTTTTACTTTATTTTTTATTATGCCTCCAAAGGCAGTGCTAGAACAGACAATCTCCTCAGTTTCATGAACAGAGAGGGAATTCAAAGAATCTCAAGGTGACCCAGATGGGTGGCCAGGGAAGTGACTTGCTCAGCTTGGATGAGGAGCTCATCTCTAGACAAGCCCCTGCGGCCAGGAAGATGGCTTCAGGGAAGAAGACACCTATTCAAACCACAGGTTTATGTGGGAAGTGGAAGGAAGGGAGGGGGCAGTGGGAGGGTCAGGGAGGGTCCTCAGAAGAGACGGACTGCTGGGCAGACAAGTCAATGGACCTCAGAAGAGACTGGGCAGACAAGTCAATGGACGCCCACCTCAGATGTCATGCTCAATAATCCCCCCACTCCCCAAGATATACAAATAGTCATGCCTCTCTTCTACTACTCATATGGTTTTATATTTTACATTAAAATTTTTAATCCATCTGGAATTTATTTTGATATAAATATAAAGTATACATCTAATGTATTATGCCTTCCAAATTGGTATCTAAATGCCCCAATGTGCTCTCATGCCATAACTTACGGAAATAAGACCTGTGGCAATTACACATATTTTCTTCCTTATTTGTATTTTATTTTACATTTATATGTGTATTTATATATTTCTATATACTCATTAATTCCTTTTTCCTCTCTCTGTTTCCCTTTTTTCTTTTCAAATTAAACTTAAGTAATTATTAAAAGAAAAATATTTCTACTAGTACAGGTGATGTTTTTGTGTGAACTTGAATCTGAGATGAAGTAAGGGTCGGAGCTGCTGCAACCCCTTTGCCACTGAAAGGGGAGAGCGTAGAACTGCTAGAGGCCATGACCAGACACCAAATCTGGAGGTGCTTGATCATGGACTTCCCAGGCTTCAGAACTATGAGAGATAAATTTCTGTTGTTTATAAGTCACTCAGTCTATGGTAGTTTATTATAGCAGTCAGAACAGACTAAGACACTAGGCATTTTTTTTTTAAACCTTTGACTCCCCTTTAACCCATTTTTTCTACCTTCTATCCTCACCTCAGGCAACTGCCAGTCTATTCTTCATATCTATGAGCTTCATTTTTTTTGTGGATTTTTTGTTTGTTTGTTTTTAGATTTTTTTTTTAGATTTTACATATAAAAGAGATTTACAAGAATCAAGGAAATTCTTGCTCAATGTTCTAAACAAAAGAAATAAAAACTAAGAATCTGAGACCAGAGAAGTTGGACTAAGACACACAGAAGGTCTAGTAAGTTTTAGTTTAGCATTGATAGATGAGAATTCTGTTTAAGAATTAAAGTTGAGAATACTGTTACACATTTTGAATTTTGGGAAATTTTCATATTTATACAGTATGGAGATGTCATGGAAATATGC